GCGCTCCCCAGCCGCTGTCCCCCCCCTGCAACGTGCCTGCCAGAAACCGCTGCTGGAGAAATTCATCTGATAGTTTGTAAATATAGCCGCAAGCTGGTATTTTGCTGAGCAGGTGCGTTGCTCTGAGGTGAGGGGGAAGCGTGGTTAGCTGCCAGCGAGCTGTGCTGGCTGGGAGGCAGATCCCAGCCCCCCCCCCATGCGCAGCCGTGGCAGAGGAGTGGCAGAGTCTGGCAGGTCCCCCGGCACTTTCCTCCAGCACCCAGCTGCCCGGTGGAGTGGGTGCCTTCAGCATGAGGGGCACCAGAACCTCTACCCCAGCCCTGGTGATGGAGAGCGATCTGCTTCACGGATCCGCTCCCCTCCCTTGGGTCAGAGCTTGCTTCTCTCTGTTGCTAAAATTATTCAGACGAGCAACAGGGACCAGCAAAGGGTCCAGGTGGGGATGTCAGTGGGGAGATGCCATGCACAGACACTGAACAGCTGATGGTTGGTGCTGCTGTCACTCTCTTTGTGCCCAGGCTGGCTCACAGCTCGTCCGGCTAACGGTCCAGGGCCAGCAAGACCCGCTGAGGAATCAGACAGCCTTGGTGGACAAGTCCAGGAGCACCGTGACCTACTACATAACCTCGCAGAGTAACCACACTGCTGTGGTGCTGTATGACAGCAGGAACGTAAGTGTGTCGGGATAATTACCTGCCTTGCTAGCCTGGAAGTGAGCAGAGGAGCCCAGGCTGCTCAGAGAAGAGCTGCTGTGGTGGGAGCAGGAAAAGCATCAACCAACTACTGTTTGGTGCCTTTCTCTTCACCTTTAATTAGGAAAGATAATGCAGGGCAAAAGGAGGCATGTAATTTTTTTGGGCTCTTAAGACAGCTGTGGATGTGTGCTGCTGCTGTAACGGAGCACGATCTGTCTCGCAGGGCTATGTGTGCTACAAGCCGGTGGAGCAGCACGTGTGCTACCTGAGGAGGATGGACGCCTGGGACCTCCAGACCCTACAGACGACCCTCAACACGTCTGAGCAGAGAGTGAGCAGCTGCTGCGGCCGTTCCCCAGCGTGGCTGAGCAGACAGGCGTGATGAATTGGGCTTTGCATGGAGTTCCAGCTCACGGAAGGCCCTTTCCTGCACGGATTTGTGTTTGCAGGGGTGACTCTTGCACACCAGTATCCCAACTGTGGCTAAATGAGGGCACAGGCTTTCCCAGCCAGGGGTAGCAGCGGCAGCCCTGTTCTCTGCGATTCACTGCTCGAGGGAGAGCTTGTTTGGCATCTTGTGTAGGAGCAGAGCTCTGCCTTGCAGCGCTGGGCTCCGAGTGTGTGAGCTCAGAGCAGCAGCTCCCGGTTTTACCGATATCCTATCTTGTGAGAAACAGCCGAGTTGCAGGCCAGGGAAGGGGGATATGTCCCAGAGAGGTGAATAGCAGGGCTCTCACAGGACCTGCTCCCACTGGATTCTGTTACCTGCTCAAAATTCTGGGGAACAAAAAACAAAGGGGGTTTGTTAGCAATTCGCAGGGGAAAAAGTTGGAGTAAATCACATATACGGACCCTCTGAACAAAATGTTAATGGATGCATGGGCAGGGGGCAGGTTCTGTTTCCAGAAGACAGAAGGCCCCATTTTTTTTGTGCCCCTGCTGTCTGCTCTCCATTTCTTTGGGGGCTCCTGGTCCCTTGCCTGCTGCTCCCACCCAGCCGGGAAGCGATGGGCAGAGTTTAACCCAGAGGAGTGTAGGAACGCAGCACCCATGAGAGCAGGCTACCAAGTGGGATGCAAGGAGAAGAAAGCACCTGCTGGGCTTTGAGGCTCTTTAATGGAGGTAAAAGAGCTGGTGGTCCCAGGGCTGCCAGCAGCCCACGCGGCCATCAGTCAGGACTTCAGCTCAGCCGTGTCCTGTCTCAGCCACCACAGGCTGAAGGATGCCAGTTTGCATCATGCCCAGTGCTGGGGGCTCCACCACCGTGCATGGAGAGGGGACAGGGCTGCTGTGGGTCCCCACAGCTCTGATGCAGCTGAAGCCCAGGGCTGGCGGTGGCTCTGGGCAGGCAGGTGAGGGTCAGACAGATGCCCCTCTGCCAGCGGGCTGTGGCTGCTGGGACACCCAGCACAACGGGGTGTTTTAGCTCCAGGCCTGGGGACAAAGAGGTCCAAGCGAGGGACCTGGGAGGAACTGTCCCCCTGCTTCCCAAGCTGCAGAGCTAGCGAGGGGCTGTGGGCTGTCCCTGCTCCAGCCCCTGAGAGACTGCTCTCTGGCCAGAGCGAGCATCCCGGCACCCTGGTGGGATGGGGTGGCTGTCAGGAGAAACCTGCCCTTACTGCTGGAGCAGAGCGTGCTCCTTGGGTGCCCTGAGAGCGAGAGCAGGTCTGCAGGGCTGGAGGGCAGCACCAGGAGAGGCAAAGTGCCTTGGGAGGAATTAACAGGGACATTTCTTTCAGGGTGATCAGCTGCTACGTCAGAATAACCAGACCAAGTACTACCAGGAGTTCCTGGGCATTCTGGCAAGGCAAGAGGTGGACCCCAAAAGCCTGGGGGAGGCTGTCCAGACCCTGTGTGAGCAGACATCCATCTTCTGGGTCAGGAGAGGGGAGGGTAAGTTGTACATTTTTCCTTTGCAGAAGAGGGAAGCAGTCTTATTTCTAGTACATCTAAGAGAAGTGAGTTCTGCTGTGCAAAAGCTAATGTACGTCCTGGGATGAGCTGCCAAAGCCCAGGACAGGTGACCTCTAGTTCAGAATCAAACCATTGTTCAGCGGTCACCGAGTGCTGGCTTTGTACCCACAACCTGCAGCAAACCGTGGTACTGGCTGGGAAAGGCTCCGAGCCCCCTGCCCCAGGCAGCACAGCCTGCTTGTGTGGCACAACTACACCACAGCAGTCCCCTGTGACGCTGTTGGCTTAATGCTTGTCACCTTCATCTTCACCAAAAGCAGCCTGCCAAGCTCTCGTTCTTTTCTGTCTTACTCCAGCTTTAATGAGAAAGGTCATTCCCTGAGGCTTTTCACTTGTTCGGCTCCCCAGGGACTCCTAGCTGCAGGACTGCAAAAGCATTCCTCTCAGCCTGCTTCTTGTTTGCTCATTTGACAGGCCCAGGGAAGCAGCGGCTGATCTACCTTTGCATTGACATCTGTTTTCCAAGCAATGTTTGTGTATCTATCTGCTTCTATTACCTCCCCGAGTAAGTCCTGTGGCTGCGGATGCCCTCGCTGCCCTACATACTTGAACTGGATTCCTGAAAAGCCTCTGATTTCAACAAGGAAGGTAACATCTACAATATCCCCCAAAGGCTTCCTGCTGATTTCATGCTGCAGTTCAGGAGAGTTTAGAAAAATAACAGGACTCTGCTCAGCACTGTCGATACAGACACTTTATTTGCAGCCGCACTCCAGGGCTGCATCTTGTAAGTAGGTATTAGGAGATCCAGGCCTAGAGGAATCACATGGAGTAGCTAGTGTTTTATGGCTACGTGCCCTGTTCAACACAAGGTTATTAAATTTGTTGGGAGTGGTTGGCTTAGCAAGAGTGCAGCTCTCCAAGTCTGTGAAATACACTTTGAATAAAGGGATTGCAAACCAAGAAAACAGCTGCCTTTCCTCTCTTTGCTCAGCCTCTTCCATCATTAGAAAGGCTGATTATATTTTTTTCCACTTTGGGGTACAAGAACATCACAAAGCTGTCAGCAGCTGATGCCACAGGGATTCCTCCAGCTGAACCCGTACCCAGCTCCCCTCAGTGGGACTGTGCCTCCCTCTCCCATTCCCTTTTGTCCAAGCGGCCTCCCTTAGAGGCCACGCGCGTTTCAATAACGATCCGCTCGGAGCCGAAGCCTGGTCTCACTCCAGGCAAATGCAGCTGCTTCTGCCAGAGACCGAGCCCTCTCCCCTGGTGCAGGGGATGGTTACAAGTGCGTGTCTCAGGCTCCAGAGAGAGTGCTTGCCACTGTAAGACAAGGGAAAACAAGCAGAGGTCCTTTCCTTCTCACACGTGTCCATTATCCCAACACGCTGTCGTTGAAAGCAAGGCAGACAACTGCTTTCTGGTGGCCGCTGTACTCCCTCTTGATCTCTCCTGTCTCCACGCACCAAAGTCTGGCCAAGTTATCAGAGGAGGCTGGAACAGAATGTGAAGAGGAGTGGGATATATTGCATTAGCCTTTAGATTTTTTTTTTTTATTCCAAGAAAATCTTTCCTCTTGCTTCATTCAGCACCTTTATTAGGGCCGCTGATGACAGGTAAGGGAGCTATGCAGAGCAAGAAGCTTAGTGCTTTTCTGTATTATGTGAGTTTTTAATTATTTCAGAGAGAAGTTACTGTGGAAATTACAGCCTGTTTGTTTTCAAGGGACTATCACGCTGCAAATACTGTAAGCAGCATTCCTACCTGCACACTTGACGATCATCTCTCAATTTTAAACAGGTGCCCTATTGCAGCACAGGCAAAACGCTTACAGGAGTTAGTGGACTGCGCTGTGGGTGCGAGGCTGGGTGTTCTCTCCTCGCATACGCTGGTGCACGAGGGTTTGGCAATGTCCCAGCTAGAGAAACTGCCATGTCCTGTGCTAGTGCAGGGCTCTGCTGCTGGGGTCCTGGCATCATCCAAATCAAACCACGGGCCAAGGGCAGGAGTGCAGTCAGTGCCTCACCTGTCACGATATACTGGGAGTCCCCGGAGAATGCACAGTCCCACATCCAGCCCCGAGACGTTTCTCCTGGGTTATTGCTCTTAATGCTCAGCTCTGTCATCAGAGAGAAGTTTGAAGTCCTCCAGATCTTACATGTCTGATCTGCAGAACATGTAGCCAAGAGCCTGCAAGGAAGAGACATGCCAGGGCAACCTTATTAGTCATGCTGTACACCCAAGGGCCACTCGTTAATGTGGGCCTGGAACAGCAATGAACTGGAGAGCTGCGTTCATTGTAATCAGATTTCTTTGCACCTATATCATCTGCCTTACGAGATTCAAGCCAGACTCAGTGAAGGAGTACATTTTGCTCCCAGAGATCAGCAATTCGATCCCAGTTGTACGAACAGCTTGTGGCTGCAGAGCATGAGGCTGGAATGCCACTGAGAGCAACCCAGTTCCAGCGTGTCCTGTGCCTCCTGTCCCGCTCCCCGCTGGGGGACCTACAGGGCGGTGTGAAGCCAGCATCAGCCAACAGCTGGAGGCACAGCTGGTCTCTGCCCGCCCGGAAAGGACTGTCTGTTCCCACTGCAGGTAGGCAAGGGGCTGGCACGCACTCACGTGGAGTCGGGGCTGAACTTGCACTGAAGGGCGTAGCGGTTGTGTGCGGGGATCTTTGTCTTGGGGATCAGCTGGGTCACCTCCTCTCCGATGCCGCCCGTCAGGTTCCACACGTAGCAATTTCCCTGTGGTGAGACAGGGGGATCTGTGGGTGGGCTGGTGGTCACCCACCCAAGAGCAGCCCAGACTTTCCCCACTCCATCCCAGCACAGCAAAGCTGCAGGCAAAGCTGGTACGTGCAGACTGGCTGCTTCTGCCTACAGGAGGCACAGCCCACGGCTGCTGGAGCACCGTAAAACCCGTCCCACGTTTGAGGCCACCGGAGCTCACCGAGCTGTTAACAGCTGCCATGTAACTGGCATCGGGGTCAATGTGAACCGAATTCACGGAAACTTCGGGCTCCGGAATCAGCTGCTCGTTGTGGTCAGTCTTCAGGTCCCAGATGTGAATGGCACCACTCTGATCACCCACAATTAGCTCTGCCTGCAAGAGAACAGCAACCTCGTCTCTCTGAGGAGAACCCCGTAAGCAGCAGCCTCAAGCTGCTGCCCAGAACACGCCTGCTGCAGCACCACGTGGAGCCTTCCTCTGGATTTAAGCCTCCAGGTCCCGTTCTGCCTAATTATTCCCCAGCACAGGGCTCTTTCAGAGCTCCAGCAGCCTGCTGACACCTCTGTACACTAAGAACAAACAGAGTACTAATCTCACGTTACGCTCTGCAAAAAGGCTGTTTACCTTTACAGAACTGTGTGCTAATTTTATAAACCCCAGAGCAGACAGCAGCTGCCTGATTTCCAGAACCGTTGCACAGCTACTGCTCCAACCACCACCCACAGAAGCCAAATTATTTTCAGCATGTCTGAGAAGTGGGCATTAAGATGCAAGTTGGCTAGCGAACAACTGAAGCACTCAAGAGTGTACAGATACCTGAAAAACACAAGCCTAAATGGATTTTTCTCTCTCTCCCCTTCTCAGGGAAAGGGCAAGAGCCAGCTGAAGGGCAGGAGTTCTGGCTCCGATCCTGTGCTCAGACCAGAAGACAATGCTGGCGGCTCTCCACTAAAACCAGGGCTTTTATCAACAGTCTTGTGCTGTCCATAATTTTAGCAGAATCCCTAGAGGAGATCAGGTCATCGGACACAGCTAATCCTGTACCTGTGAGCAAAGGCCTGTTTCTGAGGAAGGCAATCATTGCTCAACATATATAGCTGACGGCACAGTGCAGAAACGTCTTCTGGACACCGCAACCCTTAGCCCCCTCTTAGCAGGTGTAAGTACAATTGCTAAAGGCATCATGGCTTTACCCAGGCTGTGAGAAATCTCTCTCGGATAACTGGATCAGCGTCACTGCAGCAGGGAGTTGCAGAGCAATTAAGCTATCTGAATAAATGCTGCCACCTTTGGACTAATTAACTGCGTTCTGCTCAAACCCAACACTTCTGCAACTCAGCAGTACCTTGGTTAGTGATTATGTCACATGTAAGATCTAAGTACCACAATAATATTCGGTTTTATATAATATATTCTCATAGCAACGGCAATATAAGAGCATCAGCAACATTTGGGTAAAGTCTGGTCCAAATAATTGATCTCAAATCTGGTCTGAAATTCCAGACTTGCAAAATTAAACCTTTGCAAAGCCAAATGCAAAGAAAAATTTGTATTATTCAGCTTTTTAAAAGTGTCTGCAATCACACCCTGCAGCACTGTGAATATAAAATGGACCAGACGGGTTATTAACACTGCAATGATACGTATTGATTTTCACTGCCATCCCCTCTAATGCACCACGCTCCCTTTTAGCCTCATTTCCTAAGCCCCAGCCATCTGTTTATCAACAGCTTCTGAACTGACTGGTGAATCTTGAGCCCTGAAGGTAAGTAGGGCCCAGAGGTGCTTTTTCTTGGCAGCGGTGCCACCCTCAAGCTTCCCAGCCCACCCCGTGTCACCAGTTTCACTCCCATCACATCCCTTTAGTTAAGTTCATGGGGCAGAGACAGCCCCAAAGGAGCGTTCCTTCCTATGGGACGAGAGGCCCAGCGCAGCCGCTACGCCGTCTCTTTGCAACAGCCACCAGGTAATTAGCACAAACACGCCGGCTGGCAAATGAGCTCAGTGGAGAAAGCCCCTGGGCTGCAGCACAGACACCTGCCGCAAGCACAACGTGAGCCTGCAGTACCTGCTCGCTCCCAGCGCTGCTGCTCGAGGAGGTTTGCTCCAACGCACAAAGCACCGTTGGCTTTCCCAGGGCAGACGGAAGGACCGTGCATCTGTTGTGCTGGCTCCCATGTTGCATGGGCTCTGTTCCCACACCGATCCAAAGCTCCTGGTGGCAGCAGCTTGGCGAGGGAGCGGCCCAACTCGGCGGGGGGAGCGCCTGGCTGTGGGAAGCCAGCTGCTGCTTGTCCAGCAATGCCACCAAGAGCTTGCAGGCCTGTGCCGCCAGGAAGGCCGCCCTCCCCAGCCAGCCCCCAGATCTTTTGCCGTGTCTGCCAGTATAAAACTCCGCAGCCCCTCGGGTTTACCCAAAAGAGCCACGGCAAAGCATGAGCTGGGAAATCGCGGAGTAGCCGGTGCTCACCTGGTTGGGGTGCAGGCAGACACAGTTAATAGGAGCGTTCACCTGGAAAATCCGCTGACACTGGAGGTTACGAGACCTGCAACAAAACAATGAGGAAGGAGAGTGACTAAGAGCGTGGAATCAGCTCCTCCGCCTCCGGGATGCTGCTGAAGGGGGGAACGGCTACCTCTGCCCACCTCAGGTCCCAAATCCTGGCCATGCAGTCCTCCCCGCCCGTGTACATCCACCGCCCGTCCTCGTGGAAGCCCACGGAGGTGATGTTCTTGCTCACGCCGTCGTAGTTAATGACGGGGTTGGGGTTGTTGGAGTTGAGGTCGTACATGCGGATGTGCTGGTAGCCTGCAGCAACGACCGGGCAGGGGATGACCGACGTCCCCCCGCCCGTGCCCAGCGTCACCCGTGTCCAGGGTAGCGTGGGACCGGGTGGGCTCACCTGCGGCAGCGATCATGCTGCGGTCCGGCGTGATCTCCAGGGCGTTCACCTGCTGCAGACG